CTATGGTTTATTTTTTTATTATTTTTATTTTTTAAGTCACAATAGTGAGACTGTGTGTAGGATTTTGAGACAAGAAGAGTGTGGAATATTTACTGGAGGTAACTTATTGAAAAGTCCATCTCTTAGGAGAAAGCAAGCCTCCAGGATGGAATGTGCTGGATAATCCATTCCATGATAGTTCCCCAAACAATATGACTTGAAACCTTAGCTGTAATTAAATACCAGGAGAGCCCAGTCGAGTAAGAAAAAAAATAATATGGAATGTGAAGAAAGGTGGAAGTCCCATGGCTAAATTCCATGATCATCCTGTAGAGACAGTAACTAGGTGAAACTGTTAGAACTGATAATCTTGTTTTTCTGAGCTAGAACTATTTCTCCTGTCTGTCAAAACCATACTTTTGTGCAAACTTTACAAGACCATGGTATGTTTTAACTAGAGGAACACAAGCACCACCTGAAAATAAGAAATGAGTATAAAATTGCTTAAGAGAGAAGGACTTTGGGAGTAAAAGGATACCCTCACAGATAAGCTGGAATCAGTCATTGCACGCTCAGTCACATTGAGTGCCTACCCAGGAAACCTAGAAATGTCGATAGATTTATTTCATAATTTAATGTGATTTTAGATAGCCATATCATTCATGTTCCTGGTTAATCTGAAATGCTTTGCAGACAATGCATTTATCATCAGCAGTCCAAAAGAATCTGTAATCACAGAATCACAGAAACACAGAATGGCCAGGGTTGGAAGGGACCTCAAGGATCATGAATCTCCAACCCCCCTGCCACATGCAGGGCCACCAACCTCCTCATTTAATGCTCGACCAGGCTGCCCAGGGCCCCATCCAATCTGGCCTTTAACACTTCCAGGGATGGGACATCCACAACCTCTCTGGGCAGCCTGTTCCAGTACCTCACCACTCTCTCTGTAAAGAATATTCCCCTGATATCCAACCTAAATCTCCCCTCCCTCAAAACCATTTCCCCTCATCCTGCAATTACCTATCCTTTCAAAGAGTTGATTCCCCTCCTGTTTGTAGGCTCCCTTTAGGCACTGAAAGGTTGCAATGAGGTCACCCCACAGCCTTCTTTTCTCCAGGCTGAACAAGCCCAGCTCCCTCAGCCTGTCCTCATAGGGGAGGTGCTCCAGTCCCCTGATCATCTTTGTGGCCCTCCTCTGGACCTTCTCCAACAGTTCCCTGTCTTTTTTGTACTGGGGGCTCTACACTTGGATGCAGTACTCCAGATGGGGTCTCATAAGAGCAGAGTAGAGGGGAACAATCACCTCCCTGTCCCTGCTGGCCACCCCTCTTCTGATGGAGCCCAGGATACCATTTGCCTTCTGAGCAGCAAGGGCACACTGCTGGCTCATGTTAAGTTTTTCATCCATCAAGACCCCCAGGTCCTTCTCCACAGGGCTGCTCTCAAGGACCACTCCTTCCAGTCTGTATGAATGCCTGGGATTCCTCCAGGCCAAGTGCAAAACTCTGCACTTTGCTGTGTTGAACCTCATCAGGTTCACCCGGGCCCACCTTTCTAGCAAACTGCAAAATTCATTGATAAGCACTGAGAGTTCTCATTGTCCAAAATCCTTAAGAGTGTTTGTGAGAGCCCATTCAAATGCAACTAGAGAATTGGACAATGTCCTGTTTGTGAATCTGTTAACATAACAGCCTGTATACTGAATGCTACCAGACTTAGAGCACAGAATTGGGATTGCTTTGAATCACTTAGAAGAATCTAAGCCTAGCCAACCCCAGACCCTCTGATATTTTAGGACAAGCTGGAATGCAAGGGGATTTCTGTTCGGCCAGACTTCTCTGCCCTTTTCACGTGACAAGTAGAATTAAAAGTTATTTTCATTATAAAAAATAAACAAATTATTAAAGATGTCATTTCTAATAATTGTTCTCCCAAGTTACAGAGGAATTTATTTTGTTCCAGTGATAGAATAGAATGGAACAGAAGCATGAGAAAGGATATGAAATGGAAATGATTGACATTTCAGAAAATTCAAACCTATTTTTGTTTAAAGGATAAAGAACAACGCTATGGCTGAAAATACAATACAAAGAATCAAACGAGTATCTATGTCCCAGCATTATTTGCAAATCGCATCTTAAAAATAAACTACCATGCTTCCTAGTCACAATTTGATGAGGGCAACAACTACTAATTAGCATTTATACATGATTGATTTGGGAAGAATGTATTGGTTTTGTAATGATAAATGCTGTGATCTTTCTGAATTCTGTGACATGATAGGCTGGAAAACATAATGCAAGAGTGAAACTGAATGTCTTTTTGTTTCACCCACTGAGAACTAACTTGATTAAACAGTTTAGAAAGGTTTGACATTAGGGACTTCTGTCCCTAGTAGGTAAAGGTTTTAAAATGTGGATTTTTTCACATTTACATTCTACTGCAGACTTTTAATATTCCTCTTTTATACATAAAAGGATAAGTTAAGGGCAATGAGTTCAATGATTTTGTTTTAATCCATGTCTTTCATTTTACCCAAAGGGGTATTTAAACTTTGTTTTAAAATATGTATTAAACTAGTCCCCACAAGCACTACTATGAATGAATGTTTGACAGAAAATATATGAGGCTCAAGAAATTGGACTTGCAGTAATTCAAATATAATATCTAGATCCAGATTTAAGCAGTCTGGGCAAGATTTAAATCTTGACACAAGTATAGTGAAATCTTATTAAGTTCAGTGTTTTTATTCTTCAACCATTTTATTCTTCAGGGAAGAAAGATTTGGAAGTTTACCCAGAAAAGCTGTGGATGTACCACTCCTGGAAGTGTTCAAGGCCAGGCTGGATTTGGCTCTGGGCAACCTGGTCTGGTGGGAAGAGGCGGGAGGTTGGAACTAAATGATCTTTAGAGTCCCTTCCAACCTAAGCCATTTTATGACTCATCAATTTTGCTGAAGGGCTTTAGATAGGCAACATTACTGGGTCTTGTTTGTTACTGAACTCATTTTTTTCCATTAAACCCCAGGACTTTGCATCCAGTGTTGCCAGTTTTCCTGGTTTTCTTTATGTCAATGTTAGTAAGACTATGAATGCTTACTAGTACTGCTACTGTAGTAATCCCATTGAAGCAATAATCCCTCTTTTGTATTATTTATTTATTTATTTATTTACAGCACTTACTCTTTGCTCTCTGTTGCCAAAGACAAATCTCCTGTGCTCCTATACAACTGAGAATAGCAGAGTTGCTACATCTTCCAGCACATTGCTCTTCTCCTGTGAGATCTGTCTTTCTTTGGAAATCTTGATCAAAATTTGGTGAATATATTCAATACATATAATCAGTATTATGGAGATAAGACACAGAATATTTTCTGAGATTTTTTTTCTAATGTTCATCTTACAGCTATCATATGCTAAACTAGAATTTCTTTTTTTTTTTTTTTCATTTGATAATTGTATTTTTAAAAACAAAGAAACATTTAAATCTTGAGATAAGTTGGCTATGGACTTTCCCTCCTTCTCTGATTAATATTTTTTCCTTTTCTCAAAGTCATGCATTCTCTGTTGCATTACAGAATCACAGAAATACAGAATCATGGAATCACAGACTTGTAAAAGTTGGATGAAACCACTAGGCATTATCAAGAAAAAAACATAAGGAAAATCTTTTTCTCTCGGAGAGTGGTCAGGCACTGGAATGGCCTGCCTGGGGAGGTGGTGGAGTCGCCGTTCCTGGCAGTGTTCAAGAGGCGCCTGGATGAGGAGCTACGAGATATGGTTTAGTAGCTTGTGGTAGCAATGGTAATGGGGGGATGGTTGGACTAGATAATCTTGTAGGTCCTTTCCAACCTTGTGATTCTATGACTTTATGGTAAATCCAACCCTCCTTATAAAGCAAGCTTCCTAGTGTAGGTTACACAGGAATGCATTCAATCTGGTTTTAAATATGAAAGACTCCATAAGCTCTCTGGACAGTTTGTTCCAGTGCAATCACACTCAAAGTAAAAAAAAATATTTCTAATGCTTGTGTGGAATTTCATGTATTCCAGTTTATGCTCATTGCCCCTTGTCCTAACACTTGGAACCATTGAAATGAGCCTTACCCTGTTCTTCAGGCCCTGGCTTCAGGCCTCCAACTAGATCCTGAATACATTGTTACAACCCTTTAAGCTCTGCCAGTCAGCCAGTTCTCAATCCTCCTCATTGCCTGTCAAATCCAGAGAAGAGGTGACCAGATTCGCTGATATCCCAGTTAGATTAAGGTAAAGTGTTAGGCAGAGGTCCACGCACGATCATCTGTTTTAATGAGAATCAGTATACTACAATTATACCAAAAATGTTGGCATTTTAAAAATTGAATCTTTCTCAGCTGCGAGGCTAAACTATGCGACCTTATAGGATGGCACTCTAACACACAAAATCATAGACTGTGCGACTAAACTATGCGACCTTAAGAAGCTGAAATAAGTCTTGCAGTTACTTAGCAACTTTATGAAAGAAAAAGAACAAAAAGAGAAAGGGAGAGAAATGGAGAATGAATGAATGACAGAGAAATGAACAGGGAAAAGGCTGATTACCGGTCTGTTTTGAGTGCACACCTCCACACCGTCCCAAGGCCGTAAACAAAAGAGTTCATAGTAAAAAGTTTGTCAGAAATAAGTTTGTAGGAAAAACTTTCAGGCAGGAAAGGTGGGCCTGCTTTGAGAGTGAAGGAAGACTGCCCTGTTCTCACAGGATCTCCTACCTCACTGATAATGGCCCTCAATTTGTTGTCATGACGACCACTTTGTACTGTAAGTGTTGGAGACATACCAAGCATACCCCAGAAAGTCAGAAAGTGTTTTTCATTTGTCTTTTATGCTGTTCACTGTCTATCTCTCATTTCCTAAGCTGTAGGTAATACAAGCATGTTATGGGAGACAGTGTTAAAGGCCTTTCTAAAGTCAGTGTACACAACGATGTACTTGCCTTCATCTGCCCAGCCAGTTATGATGTCATAGAAGGCTACCAGATTAGTCAAGCATGATTTTGCCTTTGTGAATCCTGATATCTTTCTCTTCCACTTGCTTGCAGATGACATCCAGAATAAGCTGCACCATCTCCTTCCCAGGAACGGAGGTGAAGTTAACTGGCCTGTAGTTTCCTGGCTCCTCTTTCTTGCCCTTTTTGAAGACTAGAAAGATATTGGTTATTCTGCAGTCCCCAGGCACAGTCCCATTCTGCATGACTTTTCAAAGATGGTAGAGAGCATTCAGCAGTCACCTCTGTCAGTTCCCTTAAAACACATGGGTGCATCCCAGGGCTCACGGATTTGTGTGCATTAAGTTTGCCTGGATAATCTCTGACTAGACCTTCCTTGATCAAGGAGAAGAAGGAGAAGTCTTCCTTTCTTTACACTCTGTCTTACCTCCAGGGTCTGGGATTCCCAAGAGACACTCTTAGCATGTCTTAGCAGTAAAGACTGAAGTAAAGAGGGCATTCAGTAGCACTGCCTTCTCAGTGTCTTCTGAGATGCCCACTTCATTCAGCAGCAGAATCTCATTTTCCCCTTGTCTTCATTTTGCCATAGGCATACTTTAAAAAGCCTTTCTTATTTTCCTGGACCTCCCTTAACAGATTTAATTACATGTGGGCCTTCCATAGGCTTCCTTCTTTCATTTGAGTTTTTCCAAGAGCTCCTTGCTCATCCATGCAGGCCTCCTGCCACCTTAGTAGGCTTCTTACCTTAGAGATGCACAATTGTTGAGCTTGGAATAAGTGATGTTTGAATGCCAAACAACTTTGTTCCACATATCTTCCAGTGCTGTAACCCATGAGATACCTCCAGACAGATCCTTGAGGAGGTTGAAGTTGGCTCTCCTGAAATCCATTTTTTGCTCTGTTACTTCCATGTAATATTCTGAACATTTTTCATTAAGCTATGAATAAAAGCAGCACTTTTTAATACAATAGTTCATTTTGTCTCTTATGTCTAAACATTGTTACAATCTCAAGAGAAATAAATAATATTTAAATCATGGCAAAAACAAAACAAAACAAAACCACTGCTATTGGTTATCTGGTGCAACCTCATGCTTAATGCAGGATCTGCTTAGATCAGGGTGATAAGGACATTGCACAGCAATGTTTTAAAGCATGTATCTAAACAATTAATCTAAATTTTCTTTATAATGTATAACTGTTACTTAAGAGTTAAAAGTTACAGTATCTATAAGATTCAGTTTTCGCCCATCTTTTTTCTTTTTCAAAACTCCTAGTTTCTTCATAGATTGAACCTGGCAACAGACTTCAATTAAGCTCACATTTTCAACAGGATTTCATGGCATTCTATGAAATTAATTTTTCACAGTGTCATGAGCCTATACTTTCCTTACTTTTTATATATTGTAATTAATATAGCCTTCTTAGAAAAGAGACGAATAACAATAGAACTGTGAAGCCAATAGAGATTAGTTTCCTATATCTGTTTCTTCCAGATTAAAAACAGATTCTCTCAGAGTGGATATATTTTATCCCAAACTTAAGAAACATCGGTACATCTATCAGTGTTGATATATCAGCATGGTTGAAGTCATGCTGTTCTGGTATTCTCCTAGAACTAATCTCAGCTTCTCAATACTTCTTACAGTGTGGATGTGACATCAGGATTTCCTTGCCCTGTAACTTGCATAAACCGTCTACTTAACAGCAGTTCTCAAATTCAAGCAGAGATGACAGAACAGACTATGGTAAGGATTTTTGTTACGCTCAGGATCTTGTCACAGGTTCCTCCACTTCCTGGGCTGCTGGGTGTCACCCCAACCTTATGCAAATCACTGACTGTTTCTTGTCAGACTGGGACTAGTGGTGATGTTGCCACCTTTTCCCTGTGAGGCCCATGCCCAAAGCTAAAGCAAAAACAGGGCAGCAGCAGCCACTGAGCCCTGATGCGGCAAGTGGTAAGAAATCAGCAAGAAAGCATTAAAAAGATGTTACTGTCTCTCTGCTGAATACACTTTGAAGATACATCTTTTAGCAGTCACCTAACATGGTCTTTCAGAAAAAGAAATCCTGAAGTACGTTTTTCCCATTCATTGAAGAATGGTTAGTTGACAAACTCAGTTACATTTATACCTATATGGTTTTCCGATTCTCTTGCTCTGTTCCATGCAGCTATTTACATCCATGCTGTGTAGGTTATGAAATGTTACCATGATTATTCTGTAGCATTTTACTCTTCATGCAAGGATGTAAGTGACTATGCAAAATACAAGGTCACTAGAAGACACAAGTATTCTGATGAATAATATAAAGATACTCTATATATTTTCTGGTGGGTATATCAATAAAATTTTTTTTAAAAAATCATGCAGTAGGTAAAAAGACAGAATCACAAAATCATGGAGGTTGGAATGGACTTTTGGAGATCATCTACTCCAGCCCTCCTGCTAAAGCAGATTGCCTGGAATAGGTCGCACAGCATCCAAATGGGTTTTTAATATCTCCAGAGGAGACACCACCACCTCTCTGGGCGGCTTCTTCCAATGTTATGTCATTCTCAAAATAAAGAAGCTTTTTCTCATGTTCGTACGGAACTTCCTGTGTTCTCTTTTGTGACTGTTACCCCTTGTCCGGTTGCTGAGCAGAGGACTGAGTAAAAGAGAAATGAGCCTCCTTCAACCTGCTGGCTACATTCTTTTTAATGTCCCCTGGGGTACCATTAGCCTTCTTGGACACAAAGGCACTCTTCAGGCTCATGGTCAACCTGTTATCCACTAGGACACTTAGGTCCTTCTTTGCAGAGCTCCTTACCGGCAGGTTAGCCCCTAACCTGTTCTGATGCATGCAGTTATTCATCTCCATGTGTAGGATTCTACACTTGCCCTTGCTAAACCTCGTCAGGTTCCTCTCCACCCAAGATGATTGCATACCTTACATTAGATGTATTCAAGGAAGGAACAAGGGAAGCAATTAGACAGGATAGTAAAATAGAAGAGGAGTTAAATTAATTTTTTGCATCTGTCTTCACTATCAAGTACTATAGGGAAATCACTCTTCCAAGGGCATGTGAAATTATACTATGGCCTTAACAAAATGATAGTCTCCAAGGAGGAAGTTATAAAGCAACTTAAAAACTTAAGTATACTAAATCACTAAAAGCAGATAATATTCATCTGAGGGTTGTGAAGGAAATTAAGTGTGAAATAGAGAAGTTACTGGCAAAGACGTGCAATGTATCATTAAAAAAAGAAATAAACCACAGGCTAAAAGTCACTGTGGCGGTCATTGGCTTTGGAAAAACCTATACTTTGTATAGTTTTAACACCATGATACCTAGGGGAATCAATGAGTTGCACAAGTACTTCAGTATAAACCCAGTGTGTCACTCCAGTTTATAGGAGGAAGAGGAGATTCTTTGATATGTGTATACCCGGCATGAGATTAAGAAACAACAGCTCAAATGTTGGTCCAACCAGTTTATTACAGATCTTAATCAGAAAGATGGGGAAGGGGAGGATGGACACTACTACGAATTAGGGTGATGGCGAAGGGAAGAAGGGCGATAGAAAGGATAGGAAAGAAGAAGCAAGGAGTCTTTATAGGAAGCAAGAGGGAGATAGTCACCACCATGGATCCAGTGTGGCTCGTAGTTCAGTCACTGGTCTTCAGTAGTGGTGGATCATCAGGCATTGTTGTTCCATTGATGACGACAACTTTTCAATAGTAGTACAAACTTATAAATAAGTCCAAAGTGGTTGAGTCAGCTCTCCTTAGAGTGGCAGCTTCTGGCTCTGGGATCTCAGCAGAAACTCCTTTGTTCCCATCTTCCAGGCCTTGCCAGCAGATAAGAGGGAGCATGGATGCCCACCTGCATCCTGTTTTTCACAGAACACGGTATCATTCCTCAATTTTCCCATAACAAGCTGGAGTTATTTAGTCATAGGCCAGATCTTCCACCAGTAAACACTCCTGAGGACTCTTTTCCAGAGGCAAGAAGTTCTGGAGGAAGGTGCTTTCATATGTCCCCAAAGTGATGTTGATTGTCACATGGTAGCACTCACCACTTGCCTCCTCAATAAATCAGTTAGAGTCTTATCACAAGAAATACCTAAGGAAGCAAGCTTTCAATCAGAAAACATAGAAGGATTGTCACACCCAGGCATATTACCCAAGACACACAAGTTATCCAGGAATGGCAGACTGTGGACTGAGATGATGCATAGCTGAAGGACGAGAAAAAAATGTTTTCTTCTAATTGAATTATGAGTCCCTTAGATTAAATTAGTGCTTATCAATGTGTAGTACATAACATATAGTTTGATTAAGCTTATCTGAGTGCAGAGATATCAAATGGTGAAGAATCAAAAAATCATCCAATAAGAAAGAAACCTTCAGAGAAAAATGTTTATCTAGTGTATTAGAATAACAATAACAAAAAATAAAAAAAATCAAACGAAACAACACACACACACACAAATACAAAGCAGAAAAACCTATATGACTACCCTCAAGCTTATTTGAAATAAATTACTAGTTAAGAATTCAAATTTACTGATCTACAGTTGAATATGAACAGAGATGAATCAGGTTTTGGACAGTTTGCTAGCTAAAAAAGATATTTCTATTGTATTCTATGTATTCAAAAGCTCAGGCTGTATTTCCTACTTGATTTTAACTGTTCTTTTTGTTTGTTTGTTTTGGTTTGTTTTTTTTCCCTGTCTTATTCTTAAAATCCACTTTTCCTGGAGATTCAAGCATGGAGCAGATTGCATGTAGAGGATATACAGTCTCCACCATTGTTTTTCAAGACCCAACAGTATTTTCAAGACCCTGAGCAAGCTGGTTTGACCCTGGAGCTGACTCTGCTTTGAGCAATACCATCTGAGATCTTGTCCAAGCTATGATCCAGTCATATGATTATATGAAAAGGTTTTTTTTTTTTGTTTTTTGTTTTTTTTTCCTACATTCATATCTTCACATTTTTATCAAGATTATTCATAGAAATGTGTTCACATTCACAGTGGTTGTTACTGAGTCTTTCTGATGTTAAATTTTACTAATAAAATGAGAAAAGAAGTTGTCCCACCTGGAAATTATGTTGAAAGAGAAGCAGTAAATGCTTGTGGGAAAATAAGTGATGTTAGAAGTAAATTATATGGTTATTCAGATTTCTCTCTTACATTTTCAGGAAAACAAAAATAAAATGTTTCTGATTTGTGAAATTTCAAGATTTTTTTTATTCAGATTAGCATTATTAATAATTCAGATTTATGACATCATGTTTTTCTGTTATATTCTTTTTCTTTATCTAGAAAGCAGTTCTTTTTTTTTTTTTTCTTTAACTTATTTGTGAGAGACATTATAGCATAATGCTGTCTGACTACCTTTTGTTGTTGTTACTGTTTTAGATGAATGCTCAATTAGAACTCGCAGGAAGAAATCTTAGTTTTCCAAGAAACACATTTTGGCATGAGGTAGAGCGCACTGTTTAAACAGGTATGTTGGAATTGTCAAAATGAAATCTGAAGAGCCATTTTTCAAAGAGTAGTTCAAATTGTACCACTTGTTCTGCCAGTGCAAGAATATGCCCCCTAATGTGAAAGTTGTATAACATTCTTGATGTAATAATATAAGATGATACTATAAAGGTGTCCAGGTATTTAAAAATCTGTATTTGCTGCTATTTTTTCCTTAGCTTTTCTGTATACTTTGTAATTCTCTCCTTTGCAATCACCATTGCGTACATTTATTTCAACTGCTCTTTAAATAATCTTTTTATACAGAAGAATACATAATAGGTGTACAAACGACTTGATTTTGTTTCCTCCATTTTGAAAATTCATTTTCATAAGCTCAAAGGAAATTCAAAAGATTACCAAAATCAATACAGAATTATTTCCATTCACTTTTCCTTTATTTGAAGTGCTCGTATTTGCAGTAGATTAGAGAATCAAGGCAAAATCTTCCAGTTTAATGCTTTGGTTTCTCAAAGAATAAAATATCCATGGAGAGGGTTTGTTTTTTTATAATTAATTTTTCCTCCCCTGGAATTATTTCTAAGTGCTATAGCATATACTTCTACTCTGTAATTTAATTAACCACCTTCTTTTAAAAAGAAAATTTTGTGTGCACCTTAAGGAGATAATGTTATTAAGTCAATTTTATAGTCCTGCCCCACAGCCAAATAAACCGTATTGAAAAGATTCTTAGCTTCTGGTGATCTGTATCTTAGAGATCTGTCCCATAGTGATATTTGCCATGCTGTAAAATCTAATTCACAGATATTTAGGGGATATAAGATATGTGCCATGGGAAAGGGATTGACATGTTTTTCTTTTATTTTCCCTCCTTTGATTTGTAGGCAGAGAGGTTTCATTCATTCATTTTGAATCATTTTGTTTTTCAGTTGGTTGGTGATTATTTTGGGAAAGGATTTTTAAACAAAGTGATATCTAGAAATACATAAATTTAGAAGTTTCCTATCTCCTTTTCTCTTTCTTTCCTTTCTGGAGTGTCTCACAATGCAATAGATGTTTTGCATAATCATACCACAAAGAATAAATGTATGAAAAAAAATCAAAACTTAGCTTTTGTACTTTTTTTTTTTTTTTTCTTCCAGTAGGCATTCTATTTGCTTTCATGAGACTCTAGTTAAAAATGAGCCTTTTTCATCATCGTACATCTTTTTTGTTGTTGTTGTTGTTGATGCTCTTAGCAGAGTAATGGATAGCTATGCTCTTCAAAGCCCCCCTTCAGCTGGTATTTAAAATAGAAGCAATTCCCATTTATGGCAACCACCACTGACAACCATGTGGGAATGCATTAGAGACACTCTTGTTATTAGGCAAAAAGAGAATGTTACTGCTAATACATTTCTGCTGTAGCACAGGAGACTCTTAGCATCTTCGTGGTAAATGCAGAAAGCAGTTTTTTAGCAGCATTCAGTATGTAACAAAATAGGAAACAAAACATTGGCAAGAGTAACTGCCTTGGGTTTCAGCGACTAAAGGCAGTTAACTCCATTAGTTTTTGGGATAACATTAGAGTAGTTGCTAAGAAGTTTGCAGTGTATTAAAAAATTAATCATTTTAGATGCATATATTTATGAATTATAGTGAGTGTCTGTTTAGCCTGTTCAACGCACATGAGAAACACACTATGGGACCACTCTAAATGCAGATGGTAGAAAACTCACTACACTGATGCACTAAATATAATTTTATCTACGTATAAAAATTGGAAGGGAAATATAATTACAGAAACAAGTAATTAAATTAGCATATAAATGATCAGAAGGATATGTAGATATTACGCAAGGATTTTTTAAAATTATTTTGGTTTGGTTTAGTTGTGGTGTAACACTTTTAGTCCTTGCATTCTTGAGGCTTGTTTTTATTAATTAGGACCATGAGTGTTTGCGTTACTGTAAATGGACCAGTAATTACTTTGTGTTGTATTTTGGTGAGATTATTGAAATATTAAGTGACATAAAATAATTTTTGAGCTCCATATATCTGATTTATTCCTTTTTACACTGGAAGCCGTGAAAGAAAAGATAACAATTAATAAGAAATTGA